GGGGATTTTGGTCTTCTTGTATGCATGTTCTTGGAACGTTCGACGACAGGAGGTAAACAGTTTTTACCTTCCACATATAGAGATAGAGGTGTAGTAGGGTTGTGGTTTCGGCATTTTATGGCTAGAGCGATATATTCGAGACGTTGCCTACCTGCATCCGCGTGCTGAAAGTGTGCATAAACAACCATTTGTTATTGGTAAGTTTGAATAAGTGTGGTTAACATATATACTCTTTGTTGGTTTGAAAATGTTTAGTTAAGTACCTATAATTCAATAATTTGTTGTTGTTTGTTGGTTTTAGATGTGTAGAAAATCTCATGGCCATAACGTTTCTACAGGTTACTGAAGTGAGTTGCGTGAACAAATTGGTGTAAGCTCCCTATTGTTAGGAGCATTTGGATATACTGTGAACAAATGTTTTACATATATATAGCAACTCATTTACAATTTTGTTTAATTGATTTGTTGTTTAATTTTCAATCTACATTATGTTGAAGGCAAAAAAGACCTGTTGAAGGTACACTTTCGCAACGCGAAAGTCAAATTCGCGTTGCGATTTTTGCGTTGCAAATTTGTCTTTCTCAACAATCGCAATGAGAAAATCACAACGTGAATTTGACTTTCGCGTAGCGAATTTGACTATCGCAACAATCGCAACGCGAATTTGACTCAAGTTACTAATGCATGTCTAACTGAAAATGTATGCATTCACACATAAAATACACATAATACAACATTAGCATTTAAAAATCACACATAAAATACATGTTCAAACTCAACAGAACAGATCATAGCAATGTTCAAACTCAAGTTACTAATGCATGTCTAACTAAAAATGTATGCGTTCACACATAAAATACATATAATACAACGTTTGCATTTAAAAATCACCTAAGTTAATAAGTCCCAAAAGGTGAAGTCGGTTGTGATTGGGATTTTGATTTTGATTGCAATTTTGATTTCCTTTTGCTTGGCACCATATGAGCTTCGAATTTTGATGAGGATCCATATTTTGGTAGAGGAAAAGATGATTGTGATGGCACTGGTGATCCACAGGTCAACCTTGTATGACCACTTTTCCTTGCACCGACTACATGTTGATATCCTCTTCTCTTCACCCTTAGATGGTATACGATCGTGATTTTTTGGTCGGCCAAGTAGCCTATTGTCCATGACTGGTGGCAAAACTGTTTGTTAGTCATCTGGTATGTCCTACTCTAAAGGATGTGGAATATGGTAGATAATCTCGGCATAAGTATGTCGATATACTTCTGTAGTGTAGCAATCCATAGCGTATGCGCTTGAATCATCTTGGTTTAGATGAAGAGCAACTTTTATAACATGGTCACACGGATAACCAGATGTTTGTCATTTCATACAACTACACGTCTTTGCATTTAGATCGACAAGCCCATTTAAGTTATTATCCAATACTTCAAACAAAGTGTTTGAACATGGTTCAACTCTCCATGACGTTGACTTCACAACACGTTTCGTTATCTTTTTTCAGTCCATGGTGTAACACGATGTTCCAATGTTCCTGTAAATTTAAATAAATAATACTTAGTAAAATATATTAAATATGATAAGTTATGAATTTAAAGAAATAATACCTGCATGGTTTCTTTTCTTGTAGTACCACTGTTGAATAGAGGCTCGAAAAAACTCCACTAACATAGTAATGGGTAATTTTCGGGAATGACGACTTAGAGCGTTGATTGATTCTGCACTATTAGACGTCATGAAATCATATCTTGCTCCAAGTTGATGTACTCTTGACCATCATTCAAACCCGACATCTTCTAGTGTTTGAGCACATTGAGGCAAAACACGTCTTAAACAATTTATATGCTTATTAAAATCCACTTCCCGATAAGCTTTTACAACCTTCCAGTATGTCCATTTGTGATTTTTTATACCAGCAGACCTTGATTTTAGATTTCTATACAAATGAAAAACCACAAAGTCCATGAAAAGCATCTGAGAAACACCTTCTAACAGCGTTGTCAATTGAGTTTGCCCTATCGGATTTGATTTTCAGATTGCTAATAGGACCTATGCAATCCCTAAGATGCCCCAAAACCATATCCATGAATCAGAGGTTTCATATTTGCCAACCCGGTAAGCTATTGGCAGTATCCCATTGTTAGCATCCATGGCTACTGCTAATAAGTTTACTCTAAGGTATCGACCTTTCAAATGTGCTCCGTCAACTATAATAACTGGGCGCATGCAAGTAATAAACGAACGAATCTACAAAATAATATACACAAGAAATATAATCATTTAAATATGAAATGCATGTAACTAACAAAAATGAGTCAACAAAATTATATTGATTTACTAATCGCAGCACCAATGGCGATAAACAGCAACTCAAAGTGTCAATCTCTATCTATTTTGATATGAGTTACCGACTCAGGATTTTTCAGCTTTAAATTGTGACAATAAGCCGATAGTTGGGCAAACGATGCTTCTGGCGACCCCCTCAACAATTCCAAGGCATAACATTTGGCTATCCAAGGTTGAGAATATGAGATACCAATCTTGAACCGAGCATTCATGTCAGTCATAATTTCATGTCCCCGATATACTCTGCCATTCACAAACATTAACTCAACCAGAAAACCACTCAACACCTTTTTGTTTGCCTGTCTATGGAGAGGAAAAAACTTGGGTTCTTGAACATGTATGTTTATCAATAAAAGTCCTAACTTGAAACATTTCGCAATCTTTTATCCCTCTTTGTAATCATACGCCACATACAATTTTTGTCAATCATACACCTTGTTTCGAAATGATCTTTGCTTGATTTGTTAACTTTTAGTTGATAGCCATCTTTCACACATTTCGTATCCAAAGCTATCTTCAAGTCTTCTTTTGTATCAAAATAATTATCTTTCTTGATACGAATAACTTTTGTGTAACAATCAACTGCTATCTTTACCAACTCTTCTTCGGGTATCTGAAGTAATTCTGGCATATTCCAGTTATACTATCGTGGCATTTTCTTCTTTTTCTTTTCTTCGGGATCTTATTCTTCTTCTTTTTCTTCTTTAGGGTTATATGAATTATAGAATAGATGTTCAACATGTTCATTCATAGTCGTAACTTCCTCCTCATTATCATCAACAACATCTTCCTCGGCAGCGGTTGTTTCATCATTAAAATCCGGGTATTGACCAATATCAAAATCATTAGACGCATGGTCTGTTTCTTCTTCTGAAACATCATCAAAATCTGAGTATTGACCAAGATCAAAGTCCGGGTATTGACCAAGATAAAATTTCAAATACTGACTAGTACTCACAAATTTTTTTGTTGGCTCATTATTGTCTAACTGGTCAATACGAAAACCGAAATTTGGTGCTGAAAGTTGATTGGGATTTGGATTAGGGAAAGGTTGTGGGTTTTGAGATTGTGTTTGATATTGTGTTTGGTATTGGAAATGTGGTGAAACAAAATTTTCTTGGTGATGAAATTGTGGTGGAACCATTAAATTTTGAGGTTGATAACAACGTTGTATATTGTGACACCATAAACTGGGGTTGAAGAACTTAGTTGATCACTACCCGCTACTGACCCAACTTCACTACTTCTAGGTTCAACAACATACAATGTAATATCATCTTCTTACGAAATACTAATGTAAGCAATGAATCGTTCAACATCTTCATTGTCGGTTAACAAATAAACTTTACATTTTCTCTGATAAGATAATCTAAATCCACTTAGGGGCTCTAAATTCAATTTCTTTACAACACGTAACATTAGAGTTTCATAAGTTAATTTTTTTAATGACAGTTTTAGTTGAAGATTCATGGGTAAATGCATATATTGTAAAACACCATGAACATTCTCTCATGACCCTCCAAAACACAAATCTATCCAAACATAATCAACATTAGATGATTTCATTCTACAAATTGTAAATTAATTTACTAAACAAACGAGCTATAAACTAGACATCATCACTAACTTAGAGAAAAACATACCTTTATTAAGTTTATAGTTGATAATTTGGGAGAAAAATCATTGAAAAATTATATAGAAATACAATTATGTACAAAAAATAGAGATGGGGAAGGATGTCGTTGGATATAGGAACGAATGTCGCCGGAGAGAGTGATAGATGAGGATTAAATGAGTTGCGATTTAGGGATTTAGGTTATGAGTTGTTGCTGCTGCGTAGTTTATATACCCAAAACATTTGTGTTGCGAAAATAAAAGTTATTGCGAAATTAAAATTCGTGTTGCGAATTCGAAAATTGAGTTGCGAAAACAAAATTCGTGTTGCGATTTAGAAAATCTTGTTGCGAAAAGGAAACTTGTGTTGTGAAAAAGAAATTCGCATTGTGAATTCAGAAACCGAGTTGCGAATTAAAATTCCGTGTTGCGAATTTGGAAACCGCGTTGCGAATTTGGAAAATCGCGTTGCGATTGTAGAAACTGAGTTGCGAATTTGGAAACTGTGTTGTGAAAGTGGAGTTCGCGTTGCGAATTTGTTGGTCATTTTCGCAAATTCAAAAAAAATTGGTTAAAATCGTATATTATAAGACATTTTCGTTCACTGAAGTTATTTTCTCTATTAAATTTATTGAATTAAGTTGAAATTAGGATTAATTGATATAATGTAAAAGTAACTTGACTTAAAACTGAAATTATATTAACTTTTTAACTGTTAGTTTATCTTTTAATTTTTTAATGAAAAAGGATGCGTTGAAATATATGAATAGTTAAAGAAACTATTTTATAACTTTTAATAATCATAAACTCAACATCTAATAATCGAGCGATCATTTATGAATTTTACTCTTCAAATTATTTCCGTCAGGGGGCAAAAAAACTCACGTGCAAGCACGTCTAAATTATGCTCAGACTGTAGTTTTTTTTTTCTGGCCCCTCCATTGTTGACTGTTTCTTTGGCAACCCGAAACTCTGATCCTCCATAAGATCCGGAATCGCACAACTCAAATAATATCGATATACCCGAATACCACAGCTCAAAAATCTTCTGTTTCTTATTCGCCCATGCTTTCTTTTTCCACATGATCGCCGCCATTTCTCCACCGCTCCGAACCTCCACGCCGGGCGCCGGAAGGCTCCGTATCCCGAATCGCCATTCGGTTCGCTTCTGTAGCTTGGGTTTTCCGCTGTGGACCCGGAAACTGAACTGGTTATACCATGAGCGGATGCAGATGTCGTGGGTTGGGAGCATGAGCGGCGGTTGCTTCAAGAGCATGGAGTCGCCTCCTAAATCGGGAATCAAAGTCGAAGAAGACAGTGGCGGACAAGACGTTTTCAACGCCGACGCCATGGGCTCCAGGGTTTCGCCTGAACATCTTGTCATTATGGTCAATGGCCTCGCTGGAAGGTATTTTTTTCATTTGAAATTAAGAATTCATAAGCTTGTAGCAGAAAAAAACTGTAATTTTGAAATGTAAGATAATTCATTCTTTTGAAGGAGTGTAGTGATAACTAGTAACAGTAGAGCTTTGTCTAATTTTGGCAGTAAATATACTTGTACACGCGACTTTTGCCTAAATTAGTGTTTCCCCCCTCAGCTTTATGTAATTGTCAATAATGAAAGAGATATTATGCCTTTTGGCTATAACAATGGAACTGCTATGGAGCAGCATGTAATTACATCAATCGAAAGGAGAAACTGAAGTAACTCTTGAATTTTGAAATCCAAAAAGTGGATTCTGAAATGATAGATGCTCCTCCCCCCAATTCTCACCTCACTCATCTGCATAAATTTTGCATGAATTGCTGACCCCAATATTTAATCAAGCATGTAGAAAATTTCATTAATGCAACTATAGCTTCTATTTGTTATGTTTATGGCTTCTGAGTATTGCTATTTCTACTGTTTTAGTTTTGCCAGGAAGGCTTTGTTTAGCAACTGATATTTGAAACCATAGAAGCATAGATGCTCCAAAATACCCTTTGCATCCTTAAGTACCATAGAAGCATAGATGCAACTATAGTTTCTTGATCTTTGTTGAGTACTGTTATCCCAAATCTCTCAAATATCGGATTTCTTGTTGTCTTATATTAAAAGTTGAGCTCTCCACTTATTACCGGTTGGTTTTAGAATAGACGTTTTAATATGATATCAGAGCCCAGGGTATGTGATGTTGTTTCTACCTAAGCCCATGTGAGGTTATTTATTTATAGCCTTGTAAGTTTTAAGTGGTGTTATTCCACATTTGTCAAGGATGGAGTTTCTTATTGTCTTATATTGCTCGGCTCTCCACTTTTTGCTTATTGGTTTTAGTTTGGATGCTTCAACATGTTTACCTGTTTGACATCAGAACTATTAAAAGATAAAACTATTTTAAAACCACTTGGATTAGGGTGGCTTTGTCTAAAGCCATGAATTTTTCTTTATTCATGGGTTTCAAACAAATTTATGTACTTGATAATTGAAAAACGTTTTGGGAACATTTATATTAAATTGCTTTATAAATGTTTATTGCCATAGATGTTCTTGTTATAAAATGGCTACCGAATCTAATTATTTTATGTTATTTAACTTTTTAGGGCTTTATGTATTTCTAGAACAAAATTAATGATTTTTTTTTGTTTGTATATATCTATATTCATGTACATACATTTTATTATTGTATCTTTGCATCGTCTTGTTCTCTAGAAGTTGAATATTTTTGTAATACATTCATATCTTATATCGCACATGTCCTTCATGGAGCCTGGCAGGTCAAAATCCATGAGAAAGGAGTAAAAGGATCTTTATTTAAGGATTATTTCTCAGGGCATTGTTTTTTCAATTTTTCATTTAATTTTTTACCCTGTTCATTTAATTATAAGAAAGATATAATATTTTAAGAATGTGATGATAATGGTCTAGAATGGGTTCCCGACAAGAATTTTGTGAAGCCATTGATCTCTGCTAGCATTGTGTTAAATAATGATTCTTAACCAAATCCCATCTCTCAACATCTTCTTATTGTATGATTTAACTGGTAAGATCTGTTATTTCTGTTATAGGTTCTTCTATCCATCTTGATCTGATCTCTTAAATTGAATACATTATATGTTCTTATACTTGTTATATTATGCTCGCTTGTGGCTGCCAGTAAATTGTTTATTCTTCTACATAGTTTATATGTTCTTCACACCATTAAAGATGATTAAATATCACAATAATTTTATCTGCTTTTATAGTGCTGCTGATTGGAGATTTGCTGCTGAACAGTTTGTGAAGAAGCTCCCAGACAAAGTAATAGTGCATCGTAAGTTTTATTTTCTTTTGCTTCATCCCCCTTCTTTTCTGCTACTGTGCATGATGAGTCATTGATGATTTAATGGTGATAATCAAATTCCAAAACTTTGCGGTGTGTGTAAAATTTGTGTGGTTTTAAGATAGAGCTTAGAAGCTCAAGGACAAAAATGAGGTTTTAGGAAGAAAAATTAGGACAAAGCTTTACATAAATGAATAAAACATACTTTCCCAAAATAGTGCCAAATACTTTATTGACTGAATTATATTTAAAAACTGAGAATAGAAAGAATTTCTGTAAACAGAGAATGGAGAGAAATTTTCAGTTATATTTTATTGAGAATTTCGGGGTTAGTTATATACATGAAACTATCTTGTCCTAAAGCTTGGGATCTACCGATCTAGTAAATTATAAGATATTAGGTAGCAAGAAATCAGGGAACGATCCTAAGGATTCAATAAGAAAAAACCCTTAACCAACTTCTAGAAATCTAGAAATTAATAAATTGGTGAGCTGTTAACACTCTTGCTCTAGCTGGTAAATAGATGTTCACTTCCAGCTTGTCCATCATTTGCTAACTTCATGGGCTGTGGCTATTGTCGGGAGTTTTTCCCATTCCATTGCCAACTTCATGATTATCTATTATATAATAACAATAGATGGAATTTGAATGAGCCAAAAGTTTGTTAATATCATCATTCATCCTGTTGAAAAGATTAGAAAATTACATGGAAAAAATTGGATAAATTTGGATGAAAGTGATACTAAAGGAATGATAGTGCCTGTCTTAACTCTGCATAAGCTCAATGTGACAAGCAAGTTTGGATAAATAATTTCAGTAGTTCCTTAGCATATATAGGAGATTTTGACTTGATATTCATGTACAGGCAGTCAATGCAACTACTTAAAATTGACATTTGATGGTGTTGATATGATGGGTGAAAGGCTAGCTCAAGAGGTATTTTGGTAATACAATTTTTCATCTTATTTCCTGGCCTATTTGATTGATAAAAGGCTATTTTTAATTTGGCTTCCTTTGGGAAAAAAAGAAGAATTTCTGAGTTACTGTTATGAAATTTTATGCGATAAATTTTCAGGGTAGAATATCACTCATCGATAATCTATGGTGCAGATATTAGGTGTTGTTGAACTTAGGCCAGATGTACGGAAGATATCTTTCGTGGCTCACTCTTTAGGTGGTCTTGTTGCAAGATATGCTATAGGGAGGCTCTATGAGCATTCTTCAAAGTTAGGTCAATCAGGTCTTAATGTGAACTCTTTAAATTTAGGGGACACAATTTCTTCAATTCAATACCTTGAGCAGCCTTGTGAAGACAGAATTGCTGGACTGGAACCAATGAATTTTATAACGTTTGCAAAACCACATCTCGGTTCAAGGGGACATAAACAGGCGAGTAGCATGCTTTTACATGTTATCTAGATTCAATATTTTTTATGTCTGCGCCTGTTTACATGTTATTTACTTGCTCCATTTTTCAATAATGAACAAGTAATAATTATAATGAGAGTTTGATTATCACTTTTTCATCCCTAAAAACTTCTCCTTCCACAAAGTCACAAAATAGATGGGTCTTTAAATCTTATTTACTGCTTTCTATTGAAGACTATGAACCTTCAAAGCCCACTGTTTCTTCCTGTTGAATCCTTTACACGCCAAGAGATGCCTAGCATATGACGAACCTAGAATCAAAGCTGTCTCACCAAGTATAAGCTAGCAGAAGTTGGTCATTTTGAAATGCTAAGCATCTATTTGTAAGAAATTTTTCACTTATGGAGGTTTTTGCCTGTCAAAACTCTTCCTGAACTCTAGATATCTACAGGGTTAATTTATTTTACATATACGATATTTGTGCTGCTTATAGTATGGTTGGCTTGTCCATGTTTTGCAGCTCCCGCTTCTTGGTGGTCTTCCTTTTCTCGAGGAAAGAGCATCTCAGACTGCACACTTGGTTGTTGGAAGGTCTGGAAAGCATCTATTTCTCACTGACAATGATGAGGGAAAACCCCCTCTTCTTCTGAGGATGGTTGATGACGGTGATGACCTGAAATTCATGTTAGTGTTAATTGCTTGACTCCCTTTAATCAATTGCCATAACACTTATTCTTAATAACTATGCATAGTGTAATATCTGTTTCCATTAACTTGTATAGATCAGCATTACGTGCATTTAAGCGACGTGTGGCATATGCAAATGCAAACTACGACCGTATCCTTATTGAAGTTGAAGTTTCTCATTAACTTCACTCCTATTTATTCATAAAGCCATGCTTGTCCTTTTTGTACAAAATTATGTTTATCTTGACTTCTGTCTGAGATATGGTTGGTTGGAGAACATCATCAATCCGGCGTCAGAATGAACTTCCAGAGGTTCTATTTAGTAAATTCTTATATTTCTGAATTCTATGTTTCATTTGGCTGCTTAGTTTTATTAATATGTTTTTTATATATTTTCAGTCAAATCTTCTTGTAATAGATGAGAAGTATCCGCATGTTGTATATATTGAGAGGGAAACTACAAAGATCCAAAACCAAGGTTTCCGTATTGCTGGAGCCCAAACAACTGATATTGAAGGTTTGTGGAGCTTTTCTGCTTCTGATCTAATCTTTATCTTTCCGTACAACAAATTTATTCATAGTGGCAAGTGATTTGGTGGAATATAGGGTTTTTATTGGAAGGGTTAGGCGAGAGGGAGAGAAATCAAATAGAATTTTTAGGCTTTAGGGAATTGTTGTTACATTTAAATGATTTTGGTATTTCACTTTAGTATTAGTGCAATGGTGTAGCTTATTATTCTCTATATTACTTTTTGGCTTGGAGTAGATCAGAGCGATAGGGAGAGGAAGAAAGGGACAGAAGGAATAGATGAATTGTAATCTGTAGTATTCAGGGAATGGTTATGGTGTTTTATGAAGATTCAGGGAATAGATCCATGCTATGAGATCAGTCAAGACAAGATGGTATTTTAGGAATATTCTGCATTTAGGGGGTTAATCCTTAAACTTTAGGAGGACACTCACTTTATTTTAGGATAAATTGTTAGAAATACCCAAAGACTCATTAGTAGGATGAAGTTAGTCTCCTAGTTCATATGGAAGCAGTTGCGTACAGATACCTAAGCTTGTTCCATTTTTCCACACAAGTAAATTCAATAAAATAATTTATTTTCTCACATGGTATGAAAATCAAACTTGGCTTCCTGGGAGTTTCTTTCTTCTTTTCAAGCCTTTATGATATGTGCCTAATTGTTAGAGATGGGACTTGGATCACACTTAGTAAAGTATGAAATTTCCTTGTCGGGTTTATATGGACTTAGGCTCTCCACCCTTAATAGCTTTTTGCATTTGGTTCTCCAAATGTCAGGTCCAGTAACTACATCTCTCGGTTGCAATCATGTGGGGCAGGTGGTGATCGTTGGTATTGCAGTGTTTGCTGAAACTAGAAAAGGAAAAAATAACTAGTGCAAAGCCAACCCACAGCTCAGATGGATACTAATTTGCAGTAGCCTTCTAGAAGAAAACTCATCCATGATTCATATAAAATCTCTACTTAGCTCTATATGCTTCTCAATTCCTTTCTATATCAAAATTGAGTAGAACGAGCTTTCTTTCTCGTACTATATGTATATGCATTGCTTTCTTTTTATGTGTATCTCTTTGTTTTGGGTCAGATTGTTCATTTGGTATCGTTTTGAACAAACAAAAGAGTAATTGCTAGGGCAAAGTTATTTGAAAAGGACATTTTTTTCCAGAAACTTAACAGAATAATGTGCACTGTCCTCGTTATTAAAGCATTAATAAAAAAATGTTTTCACTCAGCTTGGATGTGAAAGAAATGACATCTTATCTTGTCAATGGTTAAAAATCATTGCAACTAATGGAATTGGTAACTGCTCTAGTGATAGTCTCAATATTGGAAGGTTCTTCATAAAACAAAGAAGAAATAAGAAAGCTTTCCCTCCAGATTACTTATAATTATCTATTTCTTTTCACAAATTTTCCCCATTGATGAGTTCTTCTGTTTTTAACCATTTTTTTGGCTTCTTCCGCATTTTCTTTGATTATATTATTCTTAAAAGATTTCAATCATATAGCACTATCTTTGAGCAGTTTGGTACCGAAAGTTTTAGAAACTTGCTACATGTAAGACTAGGATCTCTATCATATAGTTTTAATTGAAGGGATAGCTGTAATTGTTGTCTTCGTTGCAGTGTTTCTTCTTCTTTATTTATTTCTTTATATAGTTTATACATCATTATTCGGTTTTTAACATATTTCTGTTATTCACTCTTTACCATGGTATCTGAAACTTCCACTACAACATAATTTTATATCATCTAGTTGATTTTTTTAAACTTCTCTTCCATTGATCATTCTCCCATTATTTTCTAGAGGTGATGATTCAAGGTCTCACTCAAGTACCCTGGGAACGTGTTGATGTAAGCTTTCAAAAAAGTAAACAGCGATACGTTGCACATAATACGATTCAGGCAAGTTCAACAGCATAATAGATATTTCTATATGCTTCATTTTTCTTTTACACGAAACTGAGAACTGTTGTATTCTCTGCACTTAAGTTTTGACATCAAATTATAGGCTTTAGACATCGTCCATTTATGCCAATAATCCATCCAATTTACAAATGCACAAGGTTCCCACATCAAGGGATCCTTGGAAGGATAAGTGTCTGAACCTGCCTCCATGCTTCACAATGCGGCTGTGTGGCAAGAATCCATTGTCATAAAGAAGGGGTTCCTAATAAGACCTTAGCAGCCCCTTATTGCCCGAGTGTAGCTGGCTATGTTTGCATTTAGTCCAGTGTATCAAACATGGGTTTTGTGAATAGATACTACCTTGTAATTATCCCAGACTATTTTGAAAAAACATGGGTTTTGTTCGGAAAGTGAAGAATCTGAGTAACACAGATGCACTGATTAATATTTTAACTTCTTCAGGTAAAGAGCTACTGGTTCAATTCTGATGGAAGAGATGTTGTTTTCCATATGATCGACAATTTCCTAATCTAATCCCGGAAGTGTGTGGTGTCTGCGGCGTCCGGTACTTTATCAACAGGTCAGCTCACTTATTATTATTGTGCAATATCCTCAGTTGTCTCACATGAGAATGAACGTTGTGGTGTATTTGTTCTATTGGTGTGGAAACATTGTCAATATTGTAAAGTCTTGTGACCTGTCCATATAAGTTCCTTTCTTTTGTTTCTTTGATATGATTCTTCTAATTTATTCCTTTTGCTTCTAACTATATGATTGTTGACATGTTTGATGTACTTCTGCTACATATTCCTCGACATTTTGTGGCTCCATTATTTACTATTACTCTTCACTAAGGATCGAATTACCGGTTGAAACTAGAAGCTTTGTTCTATATTTGAGAGAATTCGACTGTAATCGTCTGTTTTGAAAAATCTATTCTGGCAAAAAAGAAAAGGAAAGAAGGCTCTAGTTTTGAACATGTTGGCCTCGAACATGGTCGTGACAAGTGATTTCGTATACTCATTCCTTTTATTTTATTTTTTGGTATAGTGCATAAATGGTCTCCTGAGTGATGTTTTGTTGAGTTCTTCGACTATTAAAAGTTACGAAATAATTATTCAAGTATAGGGTGTTGTTTTGTTGAATCTCTTGACCATTAAAAGTTATAAAATGGTCATACACTATTCATATATTCTAAACTCGTCCTTTTTGGTTGAAAAATTGATGGTCGTCTGAGTTGAATGTAAACTTGCTAACGGGATATGTTAAATTTGATCCCAAAACCGTTTGAATTATATAGTCATTCAAAATTTTAGGATAAGATTGTATCATATCTTAGTCAGTTAATGTCCAGCTCAGATGATTATCAATATTTTAACAGAAAATGATGAGTTTGAAATATATGAATAGTTAAGTGATTATTTTATAACTTTTAATAGTCGGAAGATTTAACAAAGTAATGCCCAATAATCAGATATCATTTTTTTAATTTTCAACAAAACACTATAGTCGGGAGATTTACCCTTAATTTTTTGATTTAATTTATTATATTTATAAAAGTTCCCACGTGTACAAAAACAGGATAATTAAAGTTTAAATCTTAACACGAAATTTACTATGCAAAAGTAGAATAACATATGCATATTAGAAGCAGTCTAAATTAGGTACGTAAAGACTGCATGCCTAATTGTTTTGTAGCTACCCATCTTCGGTTTGGATTGAATTTGAATATATATATATATATATATGTATATAAAATAATATCAAAATCATAAGTTTTTTTATTTAAATTTATTATATATATAATTTATATATTTTATTACTTTTAAATTAAAAATAATTGTCAAAATAAGAAGGATCAAATTTAGACTTAAATTATTTTTAAAGCGGAATTTCAATCTAACCCTGAACTTTGAGTGGTCGATAAGTTTGGCTCTAGTTTTAAAGCTAGAAAAAGAGAGAAATGTATGAACGCATCATAAGATAACAAATAAGCATCATAATTAATATAAAAAAACGTAAATTAGAGTCACGCATCATGAGATAATTATTTACGATTGTAGGTTACATATCCAAATCTAATTCAAGGGTCCAAAGCAGGGGAAATCAGCGGGATAACAAATGAACATCATCTTGATCGGTCGTGGGTCGTGGCGATGTCAAATCCAACTATGAGAAAAAACAAAAGACAAACAATCAAAAAATAAAATAAAAAACGTGCCAAAAAACATGAAAAAAACGTATTTTATAAATAAAGAAATTCATATCACAAAGATAAAGTTATTAAAAACAAAAAAAAAATACGAGATAAAAGACGACTAAGACCAAGCTGATGCTATTGCCTGCTAATGAAAGAAAAAAGCGACCAAGACAGAAACTAAGAAAGCAAATCACTAGGGTTTTGTGGACGCTCGTAGTGACAATAAATCAAAATGTTATATAATTTACATTTAAGTAATGAAAATGTCCATTCATTATCATATCAAGTGGCTTTTAATATGGATCATTAAAGGTGTTTACTAAATATAGTAATTTTGAAATCTATTTATACATCTTAATTAATATCTCTCAAGTTGAATTAAAATGTTATATAATTCATATAATATTTATAATAAAATGCACTCATGTGTTTATTATTGTATTACATAAATCCAAATTCATAATTTATAAATAATATAAATACTAATCACATTTGAATTTGATTATGTCATGTTTGACGTACATATATCCAATAATGAACGTAAAATTTTATATTATAAGACAGATTATAAAAATTTTAGAAATAAAAATATATTATCAATAAATAATATAAATTTTTTAAATTATATGAAAATTTAAAATTTTAGAAAAATATCATTTTTATTAATACTCTCAATTCATCCATGATGACATGTCATGTGGTATATAAAATATGTACTTACTAGGACTAAAGTCACAATGGCCAACTTCCATTCAAAACACGCACAGCTTCACACTTACCAACCGGCCACAATAGGCAGCCGTCTCGTATCTTCCCTTCAATGCAAACAAACTCGAGAACAAAATCTTCAACAACTTCAATTCTTTTATTTAAAACAAACATAAAATTCGAAAACCAAGAGTTTAGGATTAACTTAAATGGGGCCTCCAGCAACAAGTACAGGGAAGTATCAGCTCGGTCGAACGATCGGAGAAGACACCTTTACCAAGGTCAAGCTGGCGGTAGACACCGCTACCGGTCATAACGTACCATCAAGATTATCGACAAGGCCATGGTCATGAAAAGCATTCTCAAGTATCAGGCGAATTTCCCACACACACACACACTTGCATGCTTTTGTAACCATGTGTCTTGTTCTTATGATCATATCCATGTTGCGGCCTTCGACCCGACACTAACGGATCGATGCTCGAATTTCAGGTACAACGAGAGATAAGAACAATGAAAATCCTGCACCACCCCAATACTGTAACAATAGTTGAGGTGTGTATTCTTAACTTGTTATCCATGGTTAATTGGAGTCCATTTTGCACCCACATTCGTTTGTGTTGACGAATTCTGGTGATCCGGTTCAGGTTATCGGCTCGAAGACGAAGATATACATAGTAATGGAATACATATCAGGAGGTCAACTCTCTGACAAATTGGTGAGACTTATCTGATACAAATTCTGGTGTAAATTAAGGCTTTCAATCTACATGTCTGATTCTGTTTACCTTTCCTATGTCCAGTCCTACGCCACGAAATTAAGTGAAACAGAAGCAAGAAGGTATGTAGCGCCGGAGATATGCTTACACGTGCGGTTCACCGTGCTATGAATTATGATAAATTACAGCCCGGAGATATGCTTACACGAGCGGTTCACCGTGCTATGTATCGCCGGAGGTACGAGACATCTCTTTCTGTTTCAATTATTGTACACTGTCCAAATTTGTGTTTTTGGTGAACAGTTGCTTACAAATAAGGGCTATGATGGGGCGGCTGCTGATATTTGGTCTTGTGGTGTCATCCTTTTCGAATTGCTTGCCGGATATTTACCGTTCGATGACCGGAATCTTGTTGTTTTATACAAGAAGGTATGTACTATGTATGCATCTTCCTATAGGGAAACAACCTGGATCAGGTCCAATAAGTTCCCTTGAACTGATGCCTTCCTATTCTATGTAGATATGCAGAGCACAATACGCTTGTCCAACATGGTTTACGAGAAGCCAGAGGAAGCTGATTTCTCGAATACTCGATCTGAATCCGAAAACGGTAAAACTTCAGTATGGTCTATGAGATAGAGATTGATAGGTTATGAACATAAAGATAATACTGATGTCTCCATGTAATACTGCAGAGGATAACAATTCCAGAAATCAATGAAGAAGAATGGTTCCATGTAGATTATGTGCCTTCCTGCGGCTTCGATTACGATGAGAAAATAAACATCGATGACGTTTGTAGACACTAATTTTTCACTTTCATATATTATTATTATTATTATTATTATTATTATTATATATTATTATTATTATTAAATAAATAATTACAAACCCAAAACCCAGAGGCCCATTTTACAAAATCTGAAGCCCAACAGTGACCGGCCCAGATCCAGAAGCCTACAGGAAACCCTAAACCCAATTTAGAGTTTGTATCATCTCTTGCCCCAGCTGCCAGCATCACAGCCGTTGGATCTAGCTATGATCCAACGGTCCAGAACCCTCCAAAAGGAAACCCTAGGGTTATGATAACCCTAGGGCCACGTCCCAGCCGCCTCTCCAGCTTCCAGACGTTCCAGCTGACAGATGGTCCAACTAGTCGCTGCCGACGCTGTTGTTTCCACGACGCCAGCCTCGCCGAGCTTTCCAGAAGCCAGCTACCTCACCAAATCAATGCTCTATGGTGAGTCACTGCCATAGCTTGGTGACTCACTGAAGACCGCCTTATTATACGGTCCGACGAGAGCCTCATCGAGGCCTATAAAACCGAACCTGCAAAAACAAAGAAAAAAAAGGAGACAAGCAACCACGACAGAAAACAAGCAACAACAACACCCAACAGCAGCCAAATAAAGAAGGAGAAGAGGAAAAGAGACTTACCAAGGAACTGTTATCATCGGAGCCTCCCTACGTCTTTGAAACTGAAAGGTCGAAGGTAAAGAACCTTAGATCTACACGTTTTGGTAGTGATCTAAGTTAAAATATCCTCGGATTTGGCTTTAGGGAAATTCAGGCTTCAATTTGAGGTAGATACGTAATTTTCCGGCCACCATTGACGGTGGCCGGCGGCGGTAGTCGATGCCAGATACAGACCGGCCGCCTTCTGGTTTCCCTCCGATGAGGGAAAATAAGAGAAAGCTTCTAAGCTCTCTCAGTTAGAGAGAGAAGAGAGAAAGGAAAAAATTGAGAGAATGGCCCGTAGGGCCAGCCATATTCGGGTATAAATACCCCTTTCCAAATGACACCGTTTTGGGAAGGGGTATATCTATAATTTTGTAAAATTGGTAAATCATACGCGCGACCATTAAAGTTTTGAAAACTTTTATTTTAGTCACTAAAGTTTGTAATCTATGCAATTTAATCACCAAAAGCAATTTTTAATTTGGTCTTTGAATTTTAATTAATTTATACTATAGTCACTACCTATGTATATATATATATTTATGATAAATAACCATATTAGTCCCTTTTAATTTTCATAATTTATATTTTGACCCAAATTAATTAAATAAGGCTGAATTATTTTATTAGCATTTAGATTTATTTATCTATTTGAGTTAGAGCCTTTAAATTTAATAAATTTTATTTTAATCATCATTTAAATAATTAAGGGTTAATTATTACTATCATCAATTGTATTTTTACAATATTACGAACTAGGTCTTTAAAATTTGATATTTTACATTTTAACCACTAATATTATAATTACTTTCATTTTTGACCATTCAATTTATAATTTAATTCCACAGTTTTAAATTATTTCGTTTTAGTCATTATTTAATATAATTTTATTTTTTCCTATATTGTAATTTATTTTTCAATATATTTAAACTAGTACTTTATTTATCTATTTGTTTGTCATTATTTATATTTTATTCACTAATATTTATTTGAAATACCATATATAATATTTATTTATTTTCAATATTAAGAAAGGGCAGTCTTAAAGCAACTAGATGTTCATTTTCTGATATATTCTAAATAAATATTTTATTATTATAAGTTATATATATATTATTTTTACATAAATATTTTAAATTATATATATATATATATATTATTTTAGTTTTATTTTAATATTTATTTTTAATGTTAAAAAAGGGCAGTCTTAAAACAACTGGATGTCCATTTTCTGATATTTTTAAAATAAATATTTTAATTATTTATAGATAAATGTTTTATTATTTATTTATTTAATATTAATAAAAGAGTTGTCTTAATACAACTAGAAGCCCTTTTTCTGATATTTCTAAATAAATAAATATCTTATATATATTAATAGATTTTCTTAAAAATATATTAATAAATTTGAAATAAAAGAATTATGAATTAAATATATTTTTGAATATTTAAATTTCCAATAATAGAGACAATTTATAATTAATAGAGTACCAATTTTGGGCGTTGTAGGGGTGCTAATCCTTCCCTAAACGTAACCGACCACGAATCCCTTTTTATTATTAAAAAGAACAAATTTTTGGTTGAAACGCAGATCGGTTTATCTTTTGACTGATGTTTTCTTAAAAGCTCTTTTAAAAGAAAATTTTTAGGTATTCGACCTATTTGACTCCAAAGGCCGATCGACTCCCAAAACATTTTTAAATCAAAATCATTTATTTATTCGTTTTATTTTTCTCACCAAGTTAAAAATTCGTACCCGGGCGAAAACCGGTTACGACAACGTTAACGCCGCCTTCGAGACAGTTGAGTAAAATGCTGGATTTAGTATTAAAACATGAATCTCATAGCTTCATCTAACAATCTGAAATACCATACAGGAACACAGTGAAGATATGAGAACACACAAAGCCTCGAATTTCATAAACGCATTCAAACTGATAGCGATGTCGGATGATCTCGATTTATCAGGCCTCTTTGAAGGACAGGCAATTCTGTTAAATCGAAGCCGGCATTTACATCGGACTAGCATCTCCAGTTCATTACTAGAATTAAGTACACCATTTCTTTTCTTACATAGGATGACAAAAGACAGGACAAAGATTGGTTCCAAGCATACAGTTACTGACAACATAATGAAAATAGAACCTGCAGCTATGGGTGCTAGTTTGTTGGTTGAAAGAACGAATCATTACAAGGTACAAACTTCTCGTGTTCCGAATTCTTCGAGCAGTGACTAGAGTCTCAAGTTTTTATTTTTACAGATGAAAATTCATGCAAAGCGGAAGATGGCTAGATGTTGCAGATCATCTTACGACCTATCAGACGAGGTAAATAACAATGAGATGCTCTTTTCACAAGACAACATATCAAAAGTCTCACAACCTAACGCTTCGTTGTCTGGTAATCGCGGTTTCTCCGGCGAATTGCGTTGTCGAAACATCGAAATCTGCAGGGAACTAACAGTTTACAAGGAGGTATTGTACTCAATTCTTACATTCAAATTGTTAGAAGCCAGTACCTTTGGAGAAAAAAATGTAGAAATGTGCTCAAACCACCCACAGAGAACTCTCTCATGGTTAATTAAATGATGAATTATGCATTTAGTACCTAAACTATTAGTTTTGGTCCGTTTTAGTATTTATACTTTTAATTTCTTTCAAAACCATACCTAAAGTTTAGTTTTTGCTTCATTATAGTGCTCTGCCGTTCAAAACTTAACACGTTTAGTACTTAAACTATCAAATTTAATTCATTTTAGTATTTAAATTTTCATTTTTTTAAAGTTAACGTTAAATTTTAAACTGGGTATTAAACTATTGGTTTTGGTTTGTTTTAGTACCTAAACTTTTATTTTTTTTCAAAATCATACCTAAAGTTTAGTTACCTAAACTATCAATTTTGGTTTTGGTTTGGTTTAGTACCTAAAGTTAAAAACTTAACGCATTTAGTACCTAAACTATCAATCTTGATCCGTTTTAGCACCTAAACTTTATTTTTTTCTTCAAAAATTAACGTTAAATTTTGAACGGATACTAAAATGAAACAAAAATTAAACTTTAAGTATGGTTTTGAAAAAATTAAAAATTTAAGTACTAAAACAGATCAAATTGATAGTTTAGATACTAAATATGTAATTTATCCTTAATTAAAAGATACATGCCAAAAGTTAAAGTACCTAGGTTAAGGAATATATGCAGTATATTTTAAATATTTATTTTTAATTAAGTTAAAACCCTTTTTGAGGTTATTTAAGAAAACTTTGAGCACCAATTTTGTGATAATAAATAGTACTCCCACAATCCTGTAAATAATGTGGGGGTCAACATTTTGTATTCGAAATTTGTTTGACTTTAATTGTTAATATTTGAAATATTCAATAAACTAAATCTTTATAAAAAAAATATATTCCAAATCCATTCATTGAATTCAAGATGTTTGAATAGTACTTTTATATTTTAATAAATGATATAGAAATATAATAAATTTAAATTATTATATATTTTAAATATTTTTATTAATAATATATTTATATATCTTAAATTTTTTTAAATTTTTTAAATTTATTTTAAAATAAAATTGTACACGAATAATTAGATATATAAACCCTCCCTTGGTCCACGTCGACACAGACAATGAACAAGCCACAACCAAACAAAACATAATCAAAACCCTCCCAAAATATTTGTCCTAAAACCAGCTCTTTTTTTCTTGCAAGGAAAAAAATAATTTCTCATGGTGTAAATTGCTCCACGTGTTCTTACCTTACTCGTCAACACCGAGATTTCCCACCCTCCCTGGTCACTAACTAGATAGATAGCCTAACACATCCTCAAAAGGCAAAGCCAAATCAATAACAGGCTCACAGCAAGTCTGCAAAATCTGACGTTCTAGTCCAAACTCCAAAGAGAATCTCAAAATTGCTTTGATTTTGTAAGGATGGGAAGCTTTAGGGGAATAACGGGAGGCTGCGGCATGGCCACAAAGATATGTGACATATGTAAATCGACCGCGGCGGCTATTTTTTGCCGTGTCGATTCGGCTTTTATGTGCCTGAATTGTGATTCCAGGGTTCACTCCGGTACCAACAACCTCGGCTCTGCTGCTCGGCATGAGCGGGTGTGGATGTGCGAGGTGTGTGAGCAGGCGCCTGCTGCTGTTACTTGCAAGGCCGATGCTGCTGCCCTTTGTGTCACTTGTGATGCCGATATCCACTCCGCTAATCCCCTGGCTCGTCGTCACGAGCGTGTCCCCGTCGAGCCTTTCTTCGACTCGACGGATTCGATCGTCAAGTCTTCCCCTTTTAGCTTCCTCGTCCCGACCGCCACGGATCACGATTGCTGCCAACAAGACGATGTAGAAGCGGCGGGTTCGTGGTTGTTGCCGAATCCGAAACAGGCAGTGGAAAGTAACGAAATCAAAGCTGGTGGTGGTGATTTGATCTTCTCCGAAATGGACCCCTTCATCGATTTCGAGAACCACAACATGTTCCAAGTCCAACATGATCTTCAAAACGCAGCTATGGACAGCGTTGTCCCGGTTCAGACCAAGCCAGTCATCAACAATGAAAATTGTTTCGAAATCGAATTCTGTCGGTCCAAGCCTCCTACTTTCAGCTTCCAAACTCGGTCTCTAAGCCATAGCGTAAGTACTTCAAAATTTCAATAGTTCAATTCTATCCTTAATTAAAACGATCAATAAATCTCTGTAAAACTGATGGGAAACCATGTAAAACTTTCAGGTTTCATCATCTTCACTCGATGTGGGAGTAGTCCCAGACGGGAATTCCATGTCCGACATGCCGTATTCTTTCGGACGAACCATGACAGACTCGAGCGGACCGATGTCGGCAACCACGACGAGTAGCCAAGCAGGCGGGATGGACCGAGAGGCTAGAGTTTTAAGGTACAGAGAGAAGAGAAAGAACAGGAAATTCGAGAAAACAATCCGATACGCCTCACGAAAGGCGTATGCCGAGTCGAGGCCGAGAATCAAAGGCCGTTTCGCCAAAAGGACTCAAACGGACAACGACGTCGACATCATCTTTAACTCGGCTTTTACGGCTGCCGGTTTCATCTCCGACACCCAATATGATCTCGTCCCATCCTTCTGAAAGTCGAAGAAGATAAAAAAGGGGCTGCTTATTTAGCTATGGCCCTGTGATATTCAACAGTTATTTTTATCATGCAACTAGAATAACTCTACAAGTCCACTGAAGTTCAGCAGAAACAAGATATCCAGTATTTTTAATTCTGTTTTTATGTAAAAACAGGTAATGAATCCATGGAGTTTTTCTTCTTCTTCTGAATTCCCAGATTCAAAGATGATAAGCTGCAGACAGACGTTAACTGATCATCACTTTTACTTGGCTTTTCTCCAAGATCCATCTATGAATCTGTTTCTCAATCCCTATTGGACCATTTCTTTTTCAATTCGACTATTGTTTAAGTATATAAAAATTTAACAACAAAATAATAGGTGAACAATATATGAGCTAAACACCCTAAGCGGGGTCAGTTTATGATGCCTCAGTTCATGATTTACAGTAGGCAACTTCCATTCGTTACAGCCCCTAATCAGTATCTTTTCACACAAAACAAACTGCACAGGCTCTCTATGATGAAATCATCTACTCAAAAACTAACCAGTAGGACGCCTTTCCCCAGGCAATGCATGCATGCAAAAGATTACTCGAAGAACCAACGAAGAACAAGGCACCATCTACCCTGCAGAAAACAATGTTCGAGTAAATAAACAAACACATACAGAAAGACAAAAGGCCATCAGCTACCTAACCATAGAACAAATAATAAGTGGAGTGAACAACAGTTACTAATCTTGCTAAGGAAGGAACGGATCTGAATGCCTGGATAACATGTTGCTTGAAATCTAAGTGAATAGAGCAAATATACTGAAGGATCCTGTTTGGTTGGTCGGAAAACTGTTTTCCGAAAAATGTTTTCTTAATTTTTCAATGTTTCGTTGGAGAAAACTGGTTGGTCAATGTAAAACATTTTTCTGTTAAATAATTTTTTTTGTTTCGTTTTCTGGAGTATGACTTGCGGTATGATTTTTCGTAAGTCATTTTTTGAACTTTTCATTTCAAAGAATAAATATTTAAAATAATTTTATTTTATGTACTTAATAGTAATACAATATTTTAATATCATTTTAATCAAAACATTAATTATTAAAACACTTAAAATATATTTATTAATATTTTTAAATAATATAATATTATTTAAAAATATTATAATAATATACTCAATTATATTATAATAATATAAGATATTATATGTTTATTTTAATAATTTCTAACAGATTCATCGACTAACGGAAAATGATTTACATAATCTCTACCAGACACCGTAAAACGTTTTCTAAAAAATATTTTTTAGAAATATAATTTAATTTTAGAAAATATTTTAATAACATTTAAATCAAAATATTAATTATTAAAATATTTTTAATAATATAATATTATATTTTTAATATTATAATAATATACTCAATTATATTATAATTATAAGATATTATATGTTTATTTTAATAATTTCTAAAAAATTTATCAATTAGTGGAAAATAATTTACATAATCTCTACCTAATACCGTAAAACATATTCAACCAAACACCGTAATAACTCAATACCTTATTATTAAAATCCATTACCCATTTCAAACACATTAAAGGATTTGTCCTATGTAATAATTTTGTTATTTATTCACCCCTTTATTTTATTAGAAATTAAACGAATATAAATCAAAAGAACACATTGAAAAAAAAGTACAAAAAGAAAGTGAAACATTAAAATGATATCCACCATCATATTATTTTGGTTAAACTACGTAAATGACCACATAACTAAAGGTCGGATCACGAAATGACCATCATTTTAAATTTGTGTCAATATGACCACTGAACTATTTAAATGGTTTCAATATAGCCACCTACCGTTAACATTCAACGGAAGTGGTTATGTGGCCGTTCATAAAATTAGTATAATTAGGGAACGAGTCCTTGTAAAGTTACGTCTTCGTGACACTGACATTCTTCTTTGTTTTCTTCCATTTTGGTCACTACTTGTATATGATTTGTTTCCTTGGATTTACATTTAATGCAATTTGACCATGATTCTGTTTTTAATTTGTCTAATACCTCAATTTGAGCATTAACTTTAAAATCTTTTATTCTAGTCATGCATTAAATTTATAGATTAAATCCCCTAGATTTTAGAATTAATCAATTTGATCCCTTAGATTTCTCCAATCAAATTTTAACACATTTCACGTTTTGTATAATACAATTTAATTAATTTAATAAATTTTCAATCCAATCAAAATGTGACACATATGTTATTAAGATAATACATATGCTATAAAAGTTGTTCAAGTTTAGGCAGAAAAAAGTAACCCAAAATGAATTAGTAACCAAGCAAACCTTAACGAATAAGCTAAATTTAATATTTAGGAATCAATTATAATATTATATATATATATATATATATTATAGTTAATGATAAAAAAATAAAAAAATGATAAGTGAGAGGTCAATTGAGAATATGACAACACGTAAATCACTAAAATAAATATAATAGTTTATTTATAATTGATTTAAGATTTTAATATTTTTAAACTAAATTTATTGTTTTCATATCTATTTTTAATGATTATATATATATATATATATATGAAATCATTAAAAAATAATTTAATATTTAAATTATAATCAAAAGAAAAAATATTTAAGATTCAAATCATATTTATCTTTTGATTTTAAATTGGGTTCGTGAGTTTGAGTATGTTAAATAAATTTTTAATTTAATTTTCAATATAATTTCATATATATAATCATTAATAAATACATATAAATAAATTTAATTTAAAAAGATTAAAATCTTAAATTAATTATAAATAATATATTATATTTTTTAGCAATTTAAGTGTTACCATATTTTCAATTGGCCTAGATTTAAGTTCTCACTTGTCTATTTTTATTTCTATCATTAACTATAATAATATATAATATACAATATATGAAAATATTTTAATTGATTCCTAAATATTAGATTTAGCCTATTGTTAAGGCTTTGCTTGGTTACTAACTGATCTTGGGTTCAAATACAATTAAGTTATTTTAGTTTTAATTTTCTACCTAATCCTGATCAAGTTATATAACATATGTATTATATTGATAGCAAGTATGAGAATTGTCTCAACAGTTAATTCTAAAATCTAGGGGATTTAACCTATAAATTTAATACATTACTAGAATAAAAGATTTTAAAGTTAACGCTCAAATTAAGGCATTAGACAAATTAAAAACAAAATCAGGGTCAAATTGCATTAAATGTAAATCCAAGGAAACAAATCATATACAAATAGTGACCAAAATGGAAGAAAACAAAGCAGGGTGTCAGTGTCGTGAAGATGTAACTTTGCAAAGGACTCGTGCCCTAATTATACTAATTTTGTGAACGGCCACATAACCACTTCCGTTAAATGTTAACGGTAGGTGGCTATATTGAAACCATTTAAATAGTTCAATGGTCATATTGACGCAAATTTAAAAATAGTGGTCATTTCGCGACCCGACCCTTAGTTATGTGGTCATTTATGTAGTTTACCCTATTATTTTAGTGATTAAATGATACTAATACTTTATTGTTTATAATTTAAAGTTTAAACCATATTTCTGTTTCAATTATATAAAAAAACAGTTAATTAATACAATTTAGTTTGATTTAAAACTAGCTTTCAAGGAAAATTACATGGAGAGAAAATAATTAGAGAAAACTCAAAATTAAATAAAAATTTCATTTACACATGTACAATAACTAAATGTTTACATATGATATTACATGTAATACCAACTCAGTTGGTAGAGCACAAGGCTCTTAACATTGTGGTCGTGGGATCGAGTTTCACGGTAGGCAATTCATAATTCTGATTGTCGGAGGTCTCCCACGGAAGTTGCTCTCAACCTGACGTTGGGGGCAGCCTACTAATCTATCTCCCCCATACCTTATTACATATGAGAATAAGGTTAACTAATTTTATAATTAAATGTTTACATATGTTTTAATGGTTTAAACTAAACAGTCCTAAAATTATGCATTTTTTGTTTTGAGTCCCTAAACTATTTTTGATCAAAATAAATTTTTACACTATTATATGTAACCACTTTAAGTACCTAAACTATTTTTTAGTCAAAATAAACCCTTAAACTATGCCCTTTTTGCTTTAAGCCCCTAAATTATTTTCTTGATCGAAACAATTACCTAATTTTGTATAAAAAATATATTAGAGAGACAAATATCTTGGGACTGAAGAGGGTCTTCAATCACATTTTGTAGAAAGAGGAGCACTTGTTTCCTTGTGATTTTTCAAGTGACTTTAATGCTCAAATGATGCAACAGAACGAAAGGAAAAGTTGGCTTTATGCCTTTGTTTAAAAACAGTGAAGGGTGAAGCATCATGTGGATCATGGATCAAAGTGTAACTTTTAACCTATTAGCCAGTTCAAAACCTTCGCTTTACAGCAAGTGGAAGAACTTGGGAAACAGCCCTTTAAATAAAGGATAAAAGCTAATTCATTTTCATATATTTTGGAGTTGGCACACGTCCACTAGTTGTGGGTGGAAATATATATATACATATATATATATAATGGTTATAAATCTGGATATTTAACCTTTTGTTCTTCACGTTTTCCATTTCTTGTTTGTGCTGGGCTCTGAATCGAAGAGATTTGGTCCTTTCCCTTTGTATCTTTCCATAGATTTTGTTCGTTGGGATTTGTGAAGAAAGGCGTTGGGGACGTAAAGAGTGAAAACTGGTGGGGTTGCATTAGTCTCATGCGTGTGCGGTGACCATCGATGTCATGTGGGTGAGGGAGACAAGTGTGGGTCACCCCCTCATCCCCTTCACGTGCACAGCCGGCCCACGCTTATCTCTTTGTCACGCGCCACTGTCCTCGGTGGTGTGGTCCTATTATCCCACCACTTCTCCTAACACCATGTTTGATGTTTATCCACTAATATGACCCGTCAAATCAAGCTCCCTTAGTCAACGGGGCACATTCAACCCTACGGGTCCCTCTCCTACCTTCGTTTTTTACTACTTCATAATTGCACCATAAGGGTCGGGCCATGAAGATCCATAAATGGAAAGCAAAGCAACAAGCCCATTTTAAGATCACATAATATCATAATTAAATCTCAACCTAGGTTGAATGGAAATCATCAATTAACTAATAAATAACTCATGTTGCTAATGTAATATTTCATGTTAAATTATTGATGTGATAAATGTCATGTTATCTAAGATGGTGTCAACCGAAGTAATGATATAACATATATCATGTCATCTGAAGTGACGATATATATGATATGTATCACGTCACTCAA